GTTTACAGTGATGATTACATTTTTGGCTCTAAACATTTTAGTTATTAAGTGCAAATATTCACAGCCCCTCACCCCCTTCCCTTCTTAAGTGATGTTTCTTCCCTCTCGACCATATTGATTAAGTGATGTTTTGTACAGTGCATGGGTAAACCTTCTGTTTCTTCCCACCTATGTTTTCACCATTGACTTCTATTATAATAACCAAGACTGTACACTCTTACATAATACTGGGTAACCTAGGAGCTTACTATTTGCCTTTATTTAGAACCAAATGAAGAGCAAGGAGGGAAAGGTTACACATGCACGTGGGTGGTTGGCGGGTGCTCTGGTGTGGTTTGCTCCTTCTTTCCAATCAAACATCTATCGTCCTTATCTCCCCTTTTTCTTTTTTATGTTTGTCACTCACTTGTGACACCTCTAATCTGCTGGTGCTCATATGGCCTTATGCAGTTGCGAGCGCCGTAAAACCTCTACTAAAACAAATACACATGCACACTCTACTATAGCAAGTCTGGTGTTTTGCCCTTCATTTGCTTGCCCATGGTGGGCACCATCACCGTGAAGTTTTTATAGAGAGCAAAGTTGACAGTGAGTGCACGGTGTAGAGAGCAAAGTTGACAGTGAGTGCACGGTCTAGAGAGCAAAGTTGACAGTGAGTGCACGGTCTAGAGAGCAAAGTTGACAGTGCATGGTCTAGGATATTATAATTCAAGTCTGTGGTTTTCCCTATCAAAGTGGGAGAAGTGATGGTTGCATGTTTCTCAACCGGTTCTCTGGTTGTTAATTTTTTTTGTTGATGTAAAAGATTATTATTGTTACAGATTTGAAATATAGGCCTACTTTGTTGTCTTTAAACGCAAAAGAAATGATTAATTTTGAGAGGAAAGATCATGTTATATTCCTGTTTTTTGTTTCTTTTATCAAATATTTAAAAGTTAAAAAAAGATTTCTTTGTTTATTGGAGTTTATTTTTGTTTGTTTGAGCATGGTTGTTTTTAGTTTTTTTAAACCATATTTTGTTTTGTTTATTTGAGCATATTGGGTTTTTTGGTTTTGTTTTTACTATGTTTGGTTTTGTTCACTTGGTCACATTTGTATTTGACCATGTATGTTTTTTGGGGTGCAGTTTTCTTGCACTGGAAGTTTGTAGTTTGTGGGTAGTTTGGTGTGAACTGCTATTGATCTACCCTTTCTGTCTGTTAATGTGAGTGCGTGTGTATGATGTGTGTGTGTATGTATGTGTGTGTGTGTGCGTGTGTATGATGTGTGTACATATGTGTATGTGTATATATGTGTGTGTGTGTGTGTGTGTGCATGAATGCATGTGCGTGTAAATAAATGTATGTATGCAAAAAAAGTGAGTGTGATTGTGTGAGTATGTTTTGGACAGCATGTGCACGCATGCATGTTATCTTTGTTGGTTAGTTTGCATCATTGACACACATACCCTTATTATCGTGTGCTGTTGTGGACAAACTTGTGCAATTTTAAGCAACCTGCCTCCTATATGGTCTTAAATGTGTCACTTGGGGTATTAAAGCAAGTATTTTATTTAAGGAATTTTAAATTGCTGTACATAAATATATCGTATTATCCTCTGGGACCAGAATGCTGATCAAAATGGAAATAGTTTTTATGTATTTATTTTTAGAATACCAGAAGACCGAGAATGCTCAATCAGAAATATTGAAAAAATGATTCATAATATGTGAGGGATTTTTAAAAGGAGTTTTTACTTTTGTATTTGTGGGTGATAAGCGGGTGCTCTGGTGTGGCTTGCTTCTTGTTTCCTATCGAACATTCTATCATCCTTACTGCTCCTTCTTCCTTTCTTTGTATATTACTCTCGAGTAAAACCTCTAATCATGGGCGTTTGTATGACTTGTTTGTGTTGCAAATGCCATAAAACTTTATATATATATATATATATATATAAATATATATATATATATATATATATATATATATATATTTATATGTGTGTGTGTATACGTCGTATGTAACGTACACACACGCACACACATACATACCTACATACGTACATACATACCTACCTACCTACCTACCTACCTACCTACCTACCTACCTACCTACCTACCTACCTACCTACCCACACACACACACACACACACACACACACACACACACACACACACACACACACACAAACACACACACACACACACACACACACAGTGTTTTTTAGTTTTTGCCTGTGATTGTGATCTTTGTCTCCTCCAAGACCTGAAATTTTGAACCAAAAGTTCCTTATTGTTATTCCTCCTCCTATTTTGTCACTTCCCCTAGGACCTGCCCGCTGATCAGGAGTGCCATACGTTCAACACCAGCTGTCTTACACAGTTCCGTGTCTTGTTCATGCGCACCTTCATGTCCATTGTGCGCGACGCTGTAAGTTGTTTGATATTTCTTTATTTTGATCACTAATTTTCAATTTCTACCTCTCTGTGTTCAGCAATGCCTTATTTTCATGTCTGTGCTCAGTAATCCTCTTATTATCTTTCTGCATTCCATGATGCTGTAGCCTCATTTCTTTTGTTCCATTATCCTCTCTTCTTACGTTCCTGTATTTCAAGATGCTCTATTTTCATCTCTCCATGTTTGACAAGGCTCTATTTTCTTCTCTCTGTGTTCACAATGCTCTATTTTCATCTCTCTGTGTTCAGTAATGCTCTGTTTTCATCTCTCTGTGTTCAGTAATGCTCTATTTTCATCTCTCTGTGTTCAGTAATGCTCTATTTTCATCTCTCTGTGTTCAGTAATGCTCTATTTTCATCTCTCTGTTTTCAGTAATGCTCTATTTTCATCTCTCTGTGTTCAGTAATGCTCTATTTTCATCTCTCTGTGTTCAGTAATACTCTTGTCTTTCAGAGGCTGTCCCTGACCTGCAGGGTGGAAGCAGCCCATCTCCTAAGTAGGACCTACTGTGTGTCTATGGGGGGTGTAAAACCTCAGCAATCGTTACAATCTTTTTGTATCTTCATCTTTTCTAGGTGGTGGAGTGAGTGGTTGGCGGGTGCTCTGGTGGTGTGGTTTGCTACTTCTTTCCTATCAAACATCCATTGGCCTTATTGCCTCTCTTTCTTTTCTTTTTATGTTACTTTCAAGTAATACCTCAAATGTTTGGCACTTATATGACCTAATTGTGTTGCAAATGCTGTAAAACTCTTACTACATCTAAAAAGCGGCTGTTATCGTTCTCACACAAAGAGGGGGACTCATGGTCCAGAGGTATGGTGTTTGCCTCTTATTCAAAAGGCTGAAAAGGTCTGGGGATCAAAACCCGACAGCAATGAAACAGTTTTCTTCTGTGTAATTTTCTCTTTTCACCTCTAGTCCTGCTCTGTCATCTACTTTCAATGCCACGTTCTCCACCCACCCCTAGCCTCCTCTGTGCTCCCCTCTCTGATAATCCTGACTCTTTCTACTGCTCCTCCTGGCTCTTTCTAACTGTCGTATTTCAGTCAAAATCCTGATCTTAGATAGGTTAGATCAAACACCTAAACTTCTTGGATAAATCTTCGGAGGTCCTGTGTGCAAGTTCCGCATGTTAAAGTGGTGGTTCTAAAATTGATATATATATGTGTAGAAAACAGTCTAATACTAAAAATCAGTTTTACTACAGGGTGAGGAACCAGCAGTCGACCTCCCCTGAGATCCAGCAAGGGAACACAAAGGCGAAGAAAGAAGTAGATTCTCACTCAATATAAATTGTAACTTGGCAGTAGATTAGTGTTGTAAAAATACAACTTCCTGAGTTATACATGATGTATTTTTATGAAACTAAAGCCTGTGAGTGTTTATTGACAAACATACTTCATCCTGCTACTTAGTGTTGTTTTTTTGTTATAAATGCTTCTCTTTTCTCAAACTGACTGACTGGTGTCTGTGTCTGGTAGTTGTTAGGTTAGGGTTCTGCTTTTGCGTGCAGAAGAAGTGAGTTTGATTCCAGTATGGATACGTTTCTTTTACATAGAGTTTCTCCGTCTGTCAACTAAAACGCTGCATCCCTCTCAGCCAGGGTTGGGCCCTGACAGTGAATTCAAAGCAACCAGCCTCCTCTAAATGATCTAAATTGACATGTACAGTTACGTCACACCGACTGTCAGCGAGTCAGGAAAGTACAATGGTGTCGGCGTAAACTGGACACTGTTGGTCGGAAAACCGTGGTCGACTGAAAGAAAATAAAGTCTTTCATTTAACTTTTTTTTTTTTTGCTCCAGTGGGGGATTGGTGGGCACTCTGGTGTGGTTTGCTCCTCAAACATTTTGATCTATCATCATTATTTCACCTCCATCTTTTCTTTTTGTGTAACTCTATAGCTATGCCTCTAACCTTTGGCACTTATTTTTATGACCTAATTTTGTTGCAAGTGGACTAAAACTCTTGCTTAAACCAAGTTAAAACTAAATTCCTTAAATGTCCGCTTTACTACATTTCTAATATGAGTCATTATTTTAATTAATATCGATGTTGCCTTTGTTTTGTCTTTTGTTTATTTTTTCAAACCTCCATGAGCATGGTTGGAGGGCGCCACTGGTAGATCCTACCTCTTTGTGTTTTGTGTGGGTATGCTTCTCCTCACTCTGGGGTTTGCTTTTTATTTCCCATCAAACATCTGTCATCCTTATCTCTCCTCCTTCTTTTCTTTGTATGTAACTCTCTAGTAACACCTTCAGCACATATATGACCTATGTATTGCAAGTGCTGTAAAACTTTTACTTTCACTAAAGCTGAACAAAATCTGTTGTTTTTTTCTTCCCCAGACTTTGACCAGGCTGCGTCTGATCTCTCACCTGATAGTGGGTATCCTGATTGGGCTGTTGTACCTTGGCATTGGGAACGAGGCGAGCAAGGCCTTCAACAACGCCGGCCTTCTTTTCTTCGGCATGATGTTCCTCATGTTCACCGCCCTCATGCCCACAGTGCTCACATGTAAGGACCAATATCTACACACAGAACAGGGTATTGGTGTGTGGCTGGTTGGCGGGTGCTCTGGTGTGGTTTGCTTCTTCTTTCCTATCAAACATGTATTGTCCTTATCTCCCCTTCTTCTTTTTTATGTTTGTTACTTTCTTGTAACACCTCTAATCTTTTGGCGCTCATATGACCTTATGCAGTTGCAAGCGCCTTAGAACCTCTACTAAAACTAAAGGGTATCGGTGTCTGTGGTGAAGGAGTTAGGCACTTTGCTGTTGCACCTAGAAGCCCATAGTTTGATTATTGTGTGGGGAGAACTTTTTTATTATAAATTATCTTTGTCTTTCTGCTGGGACATCGTATCCTTCTCAGCCCGCGTTGACCCTGAAAGGCAGGGTTGAAACCTGTCTTCTAAATGATCTAATTGTGTACATAGGCAGGGCTGCCCATCAGTACGAATTTGGTGGAATCGTTATGATTTTTATTCAATTTTGCGAAAATACGATTGTAATACACCTGATTCCAATTTTTTTTTTAATTCGGCTACCCCAACCAACTGGCCACCTTCCCTGTGTATATGAGGATCAAAACTACTGGACCTGCACATCCGTCATGTGCTGCTGTCTAACTTTGACACCCTCTTTGCACAGAGCCCTTGGAGTCGCTCAGTGCAGCTTTGTCCTTACAAAAACATAAGACTTTAAATGTGGTAAAGCCAAGAGTATGGCAAACATTAGCTTGACAAGGTGGTAGAAACTTCCTGCCCTTTTGTGTTGTGGGTGACAGCCTAGGCTTATAAGAGAATTTTTTTGAAAAATGGGTCTGTGTTTCAAACTTAAAATGGTTGGTTGTATTGGGTTTCACTGACTCACTATCAGTCTTACAAGCCATAGAAAATGATCATCATCTAAACCAAGATTTGACTCATATACTGTTTGGCTCCCATCATCTGATAACATTTTGTGGCATCAACCTAGTAATGCAGTGGGTTCCCGGACACTCAAACATACCTGGAAATGACAGAGCAGACACACTTGCCAAACGGGGATCTAGACAGGAACAACCCAACATTCCAACCTCATACAACACTGCAAAACAAATCATTAAAAGCAACAACAAACAAGATTGGATGAATAGATGGGCCCTGGGAAAGACAGGCAGAGCAGTTTTCAAACATATGACCACAACAAAAAGGAATGACAATATCAACCACATACAGAGAAAGAAACAGACCACGATCTTCCGCCTACGAACAGAACATATACAGCTCAACTTCCACCTGAACAGAATAGACCCTGAACTTCCCCCAATGTGTCCCTTGTGTGACTATGCATATGAGACTGCGGATCATCACCTGTTCCAATGCACATCCCTAAATGACATCAAAGTTACCTTTCTCCCTCCGAGACCTACCATTGACAACACACTCTATGGAACATTACAGCAACTGCAGCAGACCTGCACTTATCACTACATGGCATTGGACAGAAGGGTGAGAGCCCAGCTGTTTCTGGATCGATAACAACAACAATAACAACAAGCTGTTTTGGGTGTGTGGCGTGATATGCTGTGATGTACAATCAGGGTCAAAAAGTTATGACGTATTCTGCAGTTCCAAAGGTTTCTTTTGTTTGTTTTTACTAGCTGTAACTCCCCCCCCCCCCCCCCCCCCCACACACACACACACACATACCCTCCTTCCTTGTTTTCTCTTAACTGGACATTGAGGAGCCCACCAGGACTTCTTTGTTCATCATTCCTTTGTTTTACGTTACATTTTTTTTACTATATCATGACACCCCAGGAAAGAAGACTATCCATGGCCACATATTCCAAAATTTTAAAGCAGATTACTACGTTTTTTGTTGTTGATTACTTAAACGTATGGTGGTGAGTGGGCAGCCCTGCATAGGGACATAAAAATCACGTACGTTAAAAAAAATTTAAAAATCTGAAGCATTACAGGATGAGATGTGTTTAGACATAGTGGCGCAACACAATGTGATGTGTACTTTTGTTGTATCTGCAGTGTTTTTATATAGATATCTAGCTTTTTGTCAGCCATATATACAATAATTTCATCTTCTTTCCTTCTTGCTTGCAATTTTCTGTCGTCTGCTTTCGTCTCCACTTTCTCCCCCCCCCCCCCACCCCTTTTGCCCCCTCCGCTGGGCTCCTGACTCTTTCTGCAGCTTTTCTACTGCTACTCCTTGGTTCCTTCTTACTGCTGTTTTTCAGCCACACTCCTGATCTTCTGGTAGGAAAGATCTACACCTAGCCTTCTCGGACAAAGACGAAAAATCTCGGAGGTCCCGTGTGCAAGTTGCGCACGTTAAAGATCCCTTGTTGGTCCAAAATCGATAAGAGTAGGCTTCGGCCGCCACCCGGGCAAAATTCGAAATTTCCTTCCAACTGAAAATGTGAGGAGTGTCCACGCGCTTTTATGACCTTATGCAGTTGCTAGCGCCGTTAAACACTTACCATGAAAAAAAAAATACAATGATTTCATTGTTTTCAGCTATGTGTAATGATAGTAATAATAATAAAGTGTAAGTGTTATGTATTATTTAAAATGAACATTAGTCCACTGATGGTGTTTGAAGACCTCTTAATTACTAAACTATGACTAAATTGAAAGATGATGTCCACAGTCCCAGTGGAGATGTCTGTGTTTGTGCGAGAACATCTCAACTACTGGTACAGTCTCAAGGCTTACTACATGGCCAAGACTATGGCTGACATGCCCTTCCAAGTGAGGATCACACCGGGTTTTTTTAACCTGAACATTTTTTTTCGGTTGTGGTTTTTTTTGGTTAGATTTTTTTTTGTGTCTGTCTTGTTTTGCGTCAAAGCTTTTAAGGCCAAGGTCTACAGTGAAAACTAAAAGCTAGACGGGTAAATTCCCATCTACTTACTTGTGATAACCATACCTCACATACATTTTCTTTACATGTGATACCTTTCATTTTTCGGAAAATGCTTTGGTTGCCATGGAAACGGGTAAAAACAGCCGCCATCTTGGATTTTTTAGTACATTTCCATGGAACATTTCTCATTCGTTATCCATCCAACAGTCATGAAAGTTTTCACACATACTTCCATCAACATCAGGCACATTTTGTCTGATTTTCAGTTCACTAAATGAATAGCTGTAATTTTTTTAATTTGTGTATGTGTATATTATACAATTACATTGTAGCTTTTATTTTTACCTTCGTAACTAAGGCCTATTTTAGCCATACTTTTAGCACAAACTGTGAGTTATGTGATTGCCTGCCTGTCTGTCGGTTGCATTTTCATGGACTTATAGACAGTTTTAGGCTCTAGAATGTATTTCCCAAGATGAGCAAGTGGATTTAGAATAATAATATTGCATAAACAGAAAATCATAAAATTGAAGGAAATATTCCATTCTCACTGCCGACCTTGGCCTTAAATTTTACTTTGGTTTTTCCTTTTAGTAGGTTCATTTTATTTTTTTAAATGTTTGTGTTAAGTTTTTAGTTGTCTCCAATTTTTTTGTCCAATTCTTTTTTTTTCAATCTTGCAGTGATCATGCCATTATGATTTTAAAATATATGGCGGGGGGAGAGATATCTATATTAATTAGAGCCAATTGCATGGAAGGATCCAATGGCATGGCAATATGCTTGAAACATCCAGTTTTGCAGCAAGTCTTTTACCACTTTCCTCTCGAAAACGTGAAGTGACGCTGCTTTGCAATGATGTCATGCCAATTGTGTGTCACATTTCTCATTCTTTGCACACCACAGTTAGTAAATAAACTACTACCGTGAACATAAACGTCTAGAAAAACGTTCCATTTTGAAGCTTTTCACACCGTGGTTCCATAAGGAAGGATAGTTCAAGGAAAGACTGTTGTTGAGCCTCAATGACCAGTTAGGAAAAAGAAACTCTAAGGATGCATCAGCAATTGAACGTGTGGAAATAATTAAAGGACTTCTCTTAAGTGCTTAGGTGGTGCCATTGGCATCATTGGTTTGGTTTGGTTTTGTCAGTCTGGGACTCGCCGGACTGTCTTCCATGGGAGGGGTAAAACGAACAAACTGACAAACCAATGATGACCTTCATTAATTTTTATTTGGTGTTTGTGTTCCAGGCTGCACGATGGGCTATCAGTTTGGGCCGTTGGTCTATTTATAGTGTGCATTGAAGCTGCTAGAGACCGAACCAAGCTGAATGGAACTGAACCTCCAATGGGCACTGTTAATGCCTTGATTTGTATCAACATAAGGCTTGTTATTGTTCATACAGTTAGGAACAGTGGGTGGTTTGGGGGTGCTCTTGTGTGGTTTGCTCCTTCTTTCCTATAAAAAACCTATCATCTCTATCTCCCCTCCTTCTTTTTTGTGGTTGATACTCTCTTGTAACTCCTCTAATCTTTGGCACTTATATGACCTGATTGTGTTGCAAGTGCCGTAAAACTCTTACTAAAACTAGAAAAAAAAAGTTTGGAACAATTTTACTCGCAGAATCAACAGAAGATAAATATGTTCTGGATAATTAATGCAATTGCCTTGTATCGACAGTGACAGTGGAACTTGTCCCAGATGGCCATCGGCCACCCATTGTTGTGGAGAAAAAAGGTTGTCTTAGACAGGTGGACGTCATGGACAGTGTTATTATAATAGAGAATAAAACGCAAGGCTGGAATTGGGTAGTGGTCATTTGTACAGGTGGCTGTTAGAGCAGGTTTGGACTGTGCTTGCAACGTCAGTGGAGATACATGTGTACTTGCTTTTTGGGGGTTTTGAAATGATGAAATTTAGGATGCTAATCAATTGTCTAGTATTAGTATCAGCACTGACAGCACACTTGTATAGTATTTTACAAATTTTTTTTTTCTTTTCCCCTTTCCCTTCCTCCTTGGCCGCCCCAGATAATCTTTTCCCTGGTGTACGGCAGTATCGTGTACTGGATGACCTCGCAGCCCAACGACTTCATGCGGTTCGTCATGTTCCTCACGCTGTCCACGCAGACCTCGCTGGTGGCGCAGAGCGTTGGGCTGCTCATTGGGGCCGCTACCTCCACACAGGTCAGTACTGGTACTGGGGGGGGGCGCGCTAGCTCCTCACA